ACGTCCACTTATGTTTCCTGTATCTTTCTCACGTCCACTTATGTTTCCTGTATCTTCTCACGTCCACTTATGTTTCCTGTATCTTTCTCACGGCCACTTATGTTTCATGTATCTTTCTCACGTCTACTTATGTTTCATGTATCTTTCTCACGTCCACTCATGTTTCCTGTATCTTTCTCACGTCCACTCATGTTTCCTGTATCTTTCTCACGTCCACTCATGTTTCCTGTATCTTTCTCACGTCCACTTATGTTTCCTGTATCTTTCTCACGTCCACTTATGTTTCATGTATCTTTCTCACGTCCACTCATGTTTCCTGTATCTTTCTCACGTCCACTTATGTTTCCTGTATCTTTCTCACGGCCACTCATGTTTCCCGTATCTTTCTCTGGTCTATTTCTGTGTTTCCTGTATGTTTCTCATGTCCATCTTTATTTTTTTTTCTTGCTTCCGTCTTACCCACGTAATTAAAACAAAATAATGTAGGCATGAACGCTCTTGTGAGGCGCGCGTCTACCTGGTGTCTACCTGGTGTCTACCTGGTGTCTACCTGGTGTCTACCTGGAGTCTACCTGGAGGGCATTCCGGGGATCAACGCCCCCGCGGTCCGGCCCATGATCAGGCCTCCTGATGGATCAGGGCCTAATATATGAGGCTGTTACTACTGGCCGCACGTAGTCCAACGTACGAACCACAGCCCGGCTGATCTGGCACTGACACCTTGTGTGCAGTAGGAGTGTAAAAACAGCTCTGTGAAATGGAGGCGCCAGGCGAGAGGGGGTTAAAAAACTGTTTTCAGAGAGGTCGTCGCAAAGGTTCGTGCTACAGTTTCTGGCGATCACAAAAAAAAAAAAGCTATGTAAGGTATTGTTTGTAAGGGTTTGACAAAGCTTCTGGAGAGCGAAACGTTGCCACAATAAAATGTCACATTAGTTGCATGTTTTCTGTTACTCTTGAGTGGTGACCTGTACTTTGAGTGCTGACCTGTACTTAACTCTGTGAAGAAGTGTCTTGTTTGCTCCCGTGGACTGAACCAAGATGCCCTCCATCGAGCAACTTTACCAGCAACTTAAGGAAGAATTGAGGGCAGCGAAGATGGAGATACGGCGATTGACCGAGGAAAACAAGAGGATTCGTAGTAGTCCTCCTGTTTCGAGTCCTCAGGTCAAGAAGGGATCGTGGTCAGTGGTTGGACAGCAGGGGACGACGAAGTTGACGATCAAGAAGACGAATGGAAAGCCAGAAACGATGAAGAAGAAAGAGACTGCTGTGGAAACTCCCGTGGAAACCTCCAACGCATTCTCGGTGCTACCCAACGAATGTGAGTCTACTACCGGGATCGTCACGACGAACGACAACAAGGAAGGTAAGAATATTGTTGTTGTTGGGGATAGCCAGGTTAGATACATGGACAGGGCATTCTGCTTGAAGGACAGGAGTAGGAGACAAAGGGTATGCTTTCCTGGGGCTGGGATGGAGGACATTGTTAGCCGGCTTGACAACATCATGAACGGTAATGGGGTTAATCCTATTATTTGCCTCAGTGCTGGAGGCAATGATGTAGGCAAGCGTAGAAGTGAGGATTTAGTTAGAAAGTTCAGGACAGCTATAGACATGATTAGGAAGAAGGGGGGGCGCCCTGTTATATGTGGCATTTTGCCAAGAAGAGGTGTTGGTAATGAATGGTTGTCCAGAGCAATTGGTATTAATTGTTGGCTGGATAAACACTGTAAGGATAATGCAGTACCATTCATTGACAACGGGGACAACTTCTATGGCAGAAATGACATGTATGCCAGGGATGGGGTTCACTTATCCAGGGCAGGTGTGGGTTTTCTTGCTAACTCAGTTGAGGGGGTTGTTAGGACTTTAAACTAGGATTAGTTAGAGGTATGGGTTTAGAAATTATTAATAATGAGTATGGATATATTGACTTATGCTCTGATATTAAGAATCTTAATAGTAACTGTCATGGAGTAACTCTGGGTAATGATAATTTCAGAAATTGTGTAAAAACAAAGATGAATAGGAAAAATGTGCAGAAGAAAAAACATATGATGGTATTTATGCTAACAGTCGAAGTGCAAGAAATAAAATTAATGAACTACGTTTGGTAGCGTGTGCTGGGAACTTTGATATCATTGCATTAACTGAAACGTGGTATGATTTAAAGAGTCGGGATATGACTGTTGAGTGTAATATTCAGGGATTTAAGTTATTCAATGTGGATAGATGTAATGGGAAGGGGGGAGGAGTTGCATTGTATGTTCGAGAAAATATTAATTGTTGCATAAAAACAGGTATAAAAATAGATGGAGCAGTAACAGAGTCTGTTTGGGTGAGTTCGTGGAGGGTCAAGAAAAAACTAATTCTAGGTGTAATATACCGACCTCCAGGCTTGGATCACGATAGAGGGAGGACTTCTTTGGGACGAAATTGTTAGGGCTTCTGTACACAGTAACGTAGTCATAGTAGGGGACTTTAACTTTAGCCAAATTGACTGGAATTCTTTGACAGGTAATCTAGAGTCCAGTGACTTCATGGAAACAGTTCAGGACTGTTTTCTGAAACAGAGTGTAACTGAACCTACCAGGGGTAATAATTTGCTAGACCTAGTCTTGTCAAATAAGGAAACACTCGTGAATAATCTGGAGATCACTGAAGAGCTTGGCGCAAGTGATCACAAATCCATCACCTTTAGCATTAATTGGGAATGCAAGAATAATGATAATACAGTAAAAATCCCCGATTTTCGTTCTGCCGATTATAATGGACTTAGGGAACATCTGTCTAATCTTGATTGGGGTTATCTAACTAATGATTTTATTGACGATAATCATACTTATGAATATGAAGGGATCTGCTTTTATGATTGTTTTCTTAATAATGTACACAGTGCCCAGAGTATATACATTCCCCAGAGAGAAATTAGGTCTAATAATAACGATCCCAAATGGGTTAACAGGAGGCTAAAGCATCTATTAGGGGAGAAAAGGGGAATTTATAGGCGCATCAGAAGAGGAGAGGTTAACCTTACTGACCAATATGTTCAGCTTAAAAGAGAAGTAAAAAAAGCGATTAGAAAGGCTAAACGTGACTATGAAATTAGAGTTGCTAATGAATCAAAGACTAATCCAAAGGGGTTCTTTCAAGTGTATAGGACGAAGGTGAAGGAAAAAGTAGGACCTCTGAAATCTGGGAATGGACAGCTGACGGATAATGAACTGGAAATGTGTTCCTTATTTAATGACTATTTTTTGTCAGTTTTTACACAGGAAGATGTAAATGAGATTCCAGTAATTAACAATTATTTAGTTCCTGATGAATTCAAGTTAACTAATATTACTGTCACGAGGGACATGGTTATTAAGCGGATAGACAAACTGAAACAAAATAAGTCCCCGGGACCCGATGAGTTGTTTTCAAGGGTACTTAAGGAATGCAAGATGGAGCTTAGTCAGCCATTAACGAGTGTATTCAATGCGTCCATCCTTACCACTGTTGTGCCAGAGATGTGGAAGATGGCTAATGTGGTTCCTATATTCAAATCAGGGATAAGTCCACTCCTTCAAATTACCGTCCAATAAGCCTGACATCTATAGTGGGCAAGTTATTAGAATCAATTATAGCTGACATTATCAGAAGTCACCTTGAAGAGCATAACTTGATAAATGAATCTCAGCATGGATTCACGAGAGGTCGTTCCTGCCTGACAAACTTACTGACGTTCTTCAATAGAACATTTGAGGCAGTTGACAGTGATAAGGAATATGATATTGTTTATTTGGATTTTAGTAAAGCCTTCGACAGAGTACCTCACAAGAGACTCTTGAGAAAAGTGGCAGCTCATGGTATAGGAGGTAAAGTTCTAGCATGGATTGAGGCATGCTTACCAATAGAAAGCAGAGAGTTACCATTAATGGAGTGAAATCTGAATGGGGATTAGTCACTAGTGGCGTTCCACAAGGATCAGTTTTGGGCCCTCTCTTGTTCATAATTTACATTAATGACCTTGATGAAGGGATTACTAGTGACATGAGTAAGTTTGCTGATGATACAAAGATAGGGCGTATAATTCACTCTGAGGAGGATATCAATGAACTCCAGGACGATTTGAACAAACTAATGTCTTGGTCTGAGAAGTGGCAGATGAAGTTTAATGTGGATAAGTGTAAGGTACTTGCCCTTGGTAATGAAAATAACCCTCGAAGCTATAATCTAGGTGAAGTAGAGCTTGGTCATACAGAATGTGAAAAAGACTTGGGAGTCATGGTAAGCAGAAATCTAAAGCCAAGACAGCAGTGCCTCAGTGTGCGCAACAAGGCCAACAGATTACTTGGATTTATCTCAAGAAGTATAAGTAACAGAAGTCCAAAAGTTATTTTACAGCTCTATACATCACTAGTGAGGCCTCATTTAGATTATGCTGCTCAGTTTTGGTCCCCTTACTACAGGATGGACATAGACTCATTAGAGAACATACAGAGAAGAATGACTAAAATGATTTACTGTGTAAGGAACCTCCCGTATGAAGATAGACTTAAAGCCTTAAATCTCCACTCTCTGGAGAGGCGTAGAATGAGGGGAGATATCATTGAAGTGTATAAGTGGATGACGGGCATAAACAAGAAAGACATTAATAAAGTACTGAGGGTGTCGAACCAGGTAAGAACCAGGAATAATGGATTTAAGTTGGATAAATTTAGATTTAGAAAGGACATAGGTAAGTACTGGTTTTCTAACAGAGTTGTAGATGCGTGGAACAGTCTTCCCAGTGGGGTGATAGAGGCTAGGACCTTGGGTAGCTTTAAGAAGAGACTGGACAAATATATGAGTGGGAGGGGCTGGGTTTGATTGGTGTTGGGGGGTGCGGGAGTTGTTTCTTGAGTAGCTTTAGGTAGATGTCGTCTTGATAAGGACCTGCCTCGTATGGGCCAGTAGGCCTTCTGCAGTGTTCCTACATTCTTATGTTCTTATGTTCTTATGTAAGAGTCTCTCACCTGCCAGGGTGATCATGCCCATCATGACGGAGTCGCCACTGCTGAAGCTCTTGTCGTCGCTGTCGTCGTCATCGTCGTCATCGTCATCGTCGTCGTCCCAGTCGTTGTCCCAGCGGTCGCGTTCGTTGAACCTGTGAGTCTTGAGGATGAACGTGCCGAAGATGACGATCACCACGCAGAATACAATCACGAAGAGCAGCACCCGCCGAGTTATCCTCCATGGTCCAACCTGTGGGTAGGGAATGTTAGGTAGTCTCTCTCCCTCCCTCTCTCTCTCTCTCTCTCTCTCTCTCTCTCTCTCTCTCTCTCTCTCTCTCTCTCTCTCTCTCTCTCTCTCTCTCTCTCTCTCTCCAGTCAAATACGAACAACCATTTGAAGCGAAAGTCAGTAACCTGAAATAATGGAATGGAACTTCGAGATAGGAGATACTACGCAAATGTGGATGAACATGTCTGGCAGACATCTGTAAATCGCTGGAATAAGCTGCCCACTTAAGTTGTTATGAGTGTAAAGATAATGAAGTAACTTAAGAACCTGTTAACCATCCACTTAACAAATCTAAGACTCCACTACCATGAAGCTGGTTGCCAGTGGTCAGTGATGAACGACTGATGATGGATCATCCTGAGAACAGTACTGATGGAAGCCTAAGAGATGGTAACAGTGGCAGTGGTGGTAGAAGTAGTAGTGGTATTGACAGCAGTAGTGGTAGTAGTAGTTTTGGCAGTGGTGACAGTAGTTGTGGTAGTATTAATAGTAGTGGTGGCAGCAGTAGTGATAGTGGTAGGTGTAGTGGTAGTGATAGTAATGGTGATGGTAGTAATAGTAGTAGTTAGTAGTATTAGTGGTGGTTGTAGGGGCAGTGATAGTAGGAGTGGTAGTGTCATTTACGGTTACAGTAGCAGTAGTAGTGGTAATGACTATAGCAGTAGTAGTAGTAATAGCAGTAGTAGTAGTAGTAGTGACAGTAGTAGTAGTAGCGACAGTAGCAGTACTAGTAGTAGTGATAGTTGCAGCATCTGTAACACCTGTGCTATTAAATCTTGTCAAGTGATGAGCCTTGATGCTGGTGAGGAGTTCTTTGTCAAAGGAATTGGAGCTACCATCCTTTTCCTTGGATCAAACTTGACTGCTTCCCATGCCCCATGTCACGTTTAACATGGCATGGGGCACTTCCAAATGAATATAATAATGACGCTAATAACTATAATAATGAAAATAATTATAATGAAACTATTCGCTTGCTCAAGCGTGCAGTTTCATGGATGGGGAGAGAGCCTTCTGCTATACTGTCCCAGTTTTTTAATGTCTAGGAAGAATTAAAGACAGCTAGATTAACTAGTTCTTTCTCCCTTCCCTTGGGTCTTAGTCCACTTCTCACCCGCTCATTCACTCATTCGCTCACTCATTCACTTACTTTCCACTACGACGTCTTTTGCGCATGCAGCAGGAGAGGTTAAACGTGTGAAGGTTATTTCACCCAGTATGGCTGCCCTCTCTCACACTCCACCAAAGTTGCTCCTCCCAACTCCCTCTCGCCACCACCCCTACATCTACTCCCCACATCCCCACACCCAACCAATTTTGGTAAATGATGACACCCTCGCTCACAGGTAATGATAACCCTGGCTACGTTCTAACGAAACCTTTGAACTTGCCATAGTTACTGAACTTATAGCGAAACACTTGACTATATCACTCGCCCTTACTGAGGCCTCCTGCTTCCTGTATGATGGATCATACACACTGGTACCAGTACCCACAACTTGTTCTTCATACATAGGGCGTCCCATAAGCCTGGAACCGGAGGGAAAATTTGAAAATAAAATGGCAAAATGAATTCAGTGTGTCCGCCATTATTGTTGATACATGAAAGTCAAGAGGTACATATGATGCACGAGATACCCTCCCACCTGCCTACCACAAGATGTGTAAAGACAGGCTAAATGCTCTCAAAGCTGTTGCTGGCTATAACCCCAACTAGGGTGCTAATGTGAGAATCGTGAGAATGATGTACATAGCCTATGAAAGGTCCTTAATTGATTAGGCTGCTCCATGTTATTAGCTAGAAGAAAATTCTCTCCGAATTATTCTTGGCTGTCCTAAATCTCCCAAAGTTCTTAATTGAGAAGGAGTTTGGTGTTTCAAGTGTCAGTGATAGGATTATTGGTATTAAGACTGTACTTGGTATTAGAATGTTAAGAAATGAACCAGGCACTGTAACTATGAATCTTACTAAATGTCTAGAAGTGTGATAATTTATGTATATACTTATTGTTCTCCACAGTGTTATACTATATATATATATGTATTTTGTCTGTACAAGATGTGCTCTTAATAAAATATAAAAAAAAATGTCTAGAAGTAAATACACAGATCTATATGGGTTGTGAAAACATGCATTTATATTAAGTTTTATAACCTGCATGAACTATCACTGCTGTCTACAAGAGCATTTCACGCCTTCATGGAAGATGTGTTCATTTAATATCACATACCTGCAAGTGCCTCCCAAGAAGCTCATTGCTAGTAATCCCTTCCTTAAGTCACTTGTAAAAGCAACTGCTCAAGAAGAAATTTCTCACCTAGCTGGTAGTAATAAGTTATCACAAGTTATATACACTGATGGATCTAAACATGAGTCTTCTGGCAGGGCTGCATCTGCTCTTGTTGACACCTCCCTAGTTAAGAACGATAACAACTTTGTTGAGTTAGGCATAAGAATTAACAACTGGGCGTCTACACTGCAAACTGAATTGTTTGCCATCCTAATGGCACTAAAGCTTGACTATCATCACTGATTCTATGTCATCACTGAAGGCTCTTGACTCTCATAACGACTAACATGCTCAATAAAGAAGCCAGGTACAGATACTCAAAAATTCGGAAAAAAGGAATTAATGTACAATTGCTATGGATCCCATCACACATTGGATTACTCCTTCATGATAAAGTTGATATGTTAGCCAAGAAGAGTACCCAGAAGGAGAATGTAGAATATAACTTTATTATATCTGTGTCTACCATTAGGAATAATATTAGGAGAGAAGTAAATAATGAAAATGATTGTTATAGGAATGCAGTTAGAAGCCTGAGTAGATCTATAACCCACTATGATAACATGAACGTAGATAAGTATGTTTATGGAGCAACTTGCAATGTGAACAGACTGACTGATGTTGTAGTGGCCAGACTTAGGCTTGGTTACAAGTACTTCTGGCAGTTTGGGAGACAGATGATGATCAAACTAAGTGCAAAGTATATGGTCAACCCTATGGTCATTATCTTGAACATTATGTACTTAATTGTCCACTTACTGAGCAATATAGAGACAATCAGGATAATAATCTATATGATATGACAAGATCTTATTAATAAAAATAAGATACCTGATATATTAAGCAAATTTCCTAAATTTTCTTGTAACAGATAAGTGAACTGTAGATATAAATCCAGATGTACACCTGGTAACCCTTTCGGGGCCTAGTTCCTGAGTCTTTTGTGTATCCATATGCTCTCGCGCTACCGTCCACGGGATGGATATGGGGTGTACAATAAACTAGCCACTTCGATGGCAAAATCTAAAATCTATATTTGCCTACCACCTCCGTCCCACTTGCCCACCACCATCACCATCCCACCGGACCTCGGGCAAGACTTCCTTGATGACCTGATCAACCACGCTGTTGTTGCTGGCACCCCGCAGGCCTAGGCAGCTCCCTCCACGTGTCTGATGGGCGCATTGCTCACCTCTGGCAACCCTTGACCTTACCTGACTCTGACTGCTTCTCAGAAGAGGAACTAACACCACTTACACAACACAGCTCTCCACCCTGACTGCCAACTCACTCTTCTGGTTTCCCAGCACAGACGATTTCCGCTGCTGAGGTGAAGTTTAAGTACAGTAGCTCCTTCCCTCATCCATCCATCCCCATCCATATCCATCCATCCATCCCCATCTATCCATCCCCATCTATCCGTCCCCACCCATCCATCCTCATCCATCCATCCTCATCCATCCATCCATCCATCCATCCATCCAACCATCCATCAATCCATCCATCCATCTATTCCCACCTAAAAATTGTAGTCGAACCTCATGGTTCGGTAGGCAACGCTCTCGCCTCACACATTGAGTGTCCATGGTTCAATCCCTGGCACGGGTGGAAACGTTGGTCATATTGCCTTACACCTGTCTCTGTTCACCTAGTAATAAAGTAGGTACCTGGTTGTTAGTTACCTTATACCTACTGTCCCATTGACCTAGCAGCAAAGTAGGTACCTGGGTGTTAGTCGACTGGTGTGCGTGGCATCCTGGGAAACAAGATTGAAGGACCTTAATGGAGATAAGACAGACAGTCCTCGATGACGCACTGACTTTCTTGGGTTATCCTGGCTGGCTAACCTTCCGGGTTAATAATCCAAACACACATTATCTTATCCGTCCCTTGATTTGTTTAATTATCGTGTTGTTACCATTACGTGAATTACAATTGTATTTATTTGTGATAGAAGTTTGACCCCTATCATGGTGTACAAGACACTGTGTGTGACCCCTGTCATGGACAATACACTGTGTGACCCCTGTCATGGCGGACAATACACTGTGTGACCCCTGTCATGGCGGACAATACACTGTGTGTGACACCTGTCATGGACAATACACTGTGTGTGACCCCTGTCATGGACAATACACTGTGTGTGACCCCTGTTATGGCGGACAATACACTGTGTGTGACCCCTGTCATGGACAATACACTGTGTGTGACCCCTGTTATGGCGGACAATACACTGTGTGTGACCCCTGTCATGGACAATACACTGTGTGACCCCTGTCATGGCGGACAATACACTGTGTGTGACACCTGTCATGGACAATACACTGTGTGACCCCTGTCATGGCGGACAATACACTGTGTGTGACCCCTGTCATGGACAATACACTGTGTGTGACCCCTGTTATGGCGGACAATACACTGTGTGTGACCCCTGTCATGGCGGGCAATACACTGTGTGTGACCCCTGTCATGGCGGACAATACACTGTGTGTGACCCCTGTCATGGCGGGCAATACACTGTGTGTGACCCCTGTCATGGGGACAATACACTGTGTGTGACCCCTGTCATGGCGGACAATACACTGTGTGTGACCCCTGTCATGGCGGACAATATACTGTGTGTGACCCCTGTCATGGCGGACAATATACTGTGTGTGACCCCTGTCATGGCGGACAAAACACTGTGTGTGACCCCTGTCATGACGGACAATATACTGTGTGTGACCCCTGTCATGGCGGACAATATACTGTGTGTGACCCCTGTCATGGCGGACAAAACACTGTGTGTGACCCTGTCATGGCGGACAATTTTACTGTGTGTGACCCTGTCAGGGCGGCCCAATATACTGTGTGTGACCCCTGTCATGGCGGACAATATACTGTGTGTGACCCCTGTCATGGCGGACAAAACACTGTGTGTGACCCCTGTCATGGCGGACAATATACTGTGTGTGACCCCTGTCATGGCAAAAACAATATACTGTGTGTGACCCCGGGTCATGGCGGACAAAACACTGTGTGTGACCCCTGTCATGGCGGACAATATACTGTGTGTGACCCCTGTCATGGCGGACAAAACACTGTGTGTGACCCCTGTCATGGCGGACAATATACTGTGTGTGACCCCTGTCATGGCGGACAAAACACTGTGTGTGACCCCTTCATGGGGGACAATATACTGTGTGTGACCCTGTCATGGCGGACAATATACTGTGTGTGAACCCCTGTCAGGCGACAAAACACTGTGTGTGACCCCTGTCATGGCGGACAATATACTGTGTGTGACCCCTGTCATGGCGGACAAAACACTGTGTGTGACCCCTGTCATGGCGGACAATATACTGTGTGTGACCCCTGTCATGGCGGACAATATACTGTGTGTGACCCCTGTCATGGCGGACAAAACACTGTGTTTGCTGGGAAATAGTTATCGCAACGTTTCTTCTGGGATTATATTTATTATTGAGTCCTTTATCATTTTCAACGTTACACAAAAAGACAAAGTCATTTTTTGATTTATATCACTTTCAGCTCTGGTGGCCTGGTGGGTAAAGCTCTCGCTTCACACGGCGAGGTCTGGGTTCGATTCCCAGCCAGGGTATAAACAAGTATGGGAGTTTCTTTACACCTGTTGTCTATGTTCACCCATCAGTAAATGGGCACCTGGGTGTTAGTCGACAAGTGTGGGTCGCATCCTGGGACACTGACCTAATTTGCCCGAAATGCTCAGCATAACAAGGGGCTTTCTGTATAGTAGTACCCATGTCATTGATGTCAGCTAGGCCTATATACCTTGTATATGTAGTAAATAAAGATATTATTATTATTATTATTATTATTATTGTCATTATTATTGTTATTACTAAGATCTACGGTATTTATTTTACAAGTGCCATAGGTATAAAATGGGAAAACAGCTAAAATTACGAATTTATTTTATATTAATAACGTTACTGACGTCAGAGGCAACAAACTGGAGATTCATCTGAGATTTGTGTTCCTCAATGATGCTTTAGACCAAACAAATCAAGAATCTTAATGGCGTTGAAATTGGTGCTGGATTCACCAGTGTCACCAGCGGCGTGAGTCGTGCTCCAGCGGCGTGAGTCGTGCACCAGCGGTGTGAGTCGTGCACCAGCGGTGTGAGTCGTGCACCAGCGGTGTGAGTCGTGCACCAGCGACGTGAGTCGTGCACCGTGAGTCGTGCACCAGTGCACCGTGAGTCGTGCACAAGCTATTGATCCAACATTAGCGTTATTTTCGTGACTCCAGTTTTAACGAGGTCCCTGAAGCCTCCATGACCAGGTCCTGAAAGTGATCTGTTTCTGCTCTACTGAAATCCAGCGTTGGGAAGTATGGATACATGAAGGAACGTAAAGTTAGGCAAAGAATTGAGAGGAAGAAAAGAAAGGAGGAAAAGAATTGAAAGGAGGAAAAGAACTGAGAGGAGAAAGAATAGATGAGGAGGAGATGAAAGATACTACATACGTTATTATTATATTCCTGCTAAGAGCTAAACCCGTGTGTGGGGAAGTTATTTAACGTGAGGAATGGTGCAGGCTGGATGCTACGACCGCTGAACGTCAGATAGACACGCGACTCAACCTCACACTTCCTCACTAGCGGAAGACGACCAACAAGAAGCCGGAGAGATGTTGAAGAAAGAAGTGTGGGAGAGGGAACTAACACAAACAAAAAAATCTACTCCGCATGAGGATGATAATCGTGTGTTGTACTTTGTGTTCTAAAAGATATACATATTCCAATACATACAGATGTATACACAGACCGGCATTGAAATACACACAGTAAAGAAGCATACACGCATACTGCATAATACCACAGGATCAATATTATATTGTAAACAAAAATAACGGTAAACAGAAGCAAACGGATGATTTTTAATGTTTGAAGAAATTATCAATAAAATACAACGGAAAAC